TTAAAAAATAAATAAATAAATAAACTAAACACAATTTGAGACTACCAATGAAAGGGCAGAGAACATGTACAGACACAGCCTACCACCACCCCCAGCTTTCACGGATGCGATGACCCCGGGGTCTCCAACGTAGGGTGGGCGGTTGGGTGGGGGGCAGCGGATACATATGTCGAAGTCATCTTGAAATTCAAGGCCAGGGTAGAAGGAAGAGAAAACAGAACCGGGGAAGGCACCGAGTCAGAAGAAATCGAGAGTCAGACGGCAAAATCATCCAGCTCTCGAATCCACGCAGGGTCTCTTCCAGGACTTAGAGTCAAATGGGACCAGCACGAACCACGAAAGACAGGGTGGGGGGCCGCAAGAAGAAAAAGCAAGGAGTGGTAGTGAGAATGAGAAAGCGATGGCAAACAGCGATAAAGGAGGCAGCCGGTCCGCAGGCGTGACTTTAACCCAGGAAGCACAAAGAGCACTTTGCAGACAACTGGCTTGACAAGCAGGCTCCCCCGATTTCCAATGATGGGCGCTTCTGGGGAGCAAAGGCCGCAGAGGGGTTTGGGCTGTACCATGTTTTTGACCAGGGGAGAACTCGACTCACCCAGGAGCTGGAAGGGGGGGTAGTGACTGAAGTTGGAGTCTCAGGGACGCCGGACGGGGCCCTTTCCGAGTCCCTTTCCCGGTAGATTTTGTAGAGCCGGGGGCCTAGGACGCAGCTCAGCAGCTTCGCCATGGCCCCCGCTCCGGCCGCTGCTCTCCCAGCAGCAGGTCCCCCTGCTGGCCCCGCCCTTTCCCGGCCTCTAAGGTATTGCGTGCCCTTGACGTCAGCACGTACCGGCTCCGCCTCGTGCCCTGTGGAGACATTTTCCGCGCTGCTTGAGACAGTTTCCGTGCAGTTGGACCTACGGGTAGAGCAATGGTCAGAAATTATTCGGAGGCGTTTGGAACGCGGAGAATTAGAACATTATCAGGCGTAGTTAAATCCCCGCCCCCCTTTTTTAAATCCCTTAATATTGGCAGGCTCTCGAGCGACACTGGGAACGAGAGGTAAGATTAGGAGCACTTGACAAGAGCAACAAAAAAGAAAAGGTGTCTAGGAATACATCTAACCAAAGAAATGCAAGATTTTATGAAGAAAATTTGAAAAGTTTTTAAAAGAGGTAAACGAAGGCTTGAATAATTGGAGAGCTACATCGTAGTCATGGATAGGAGGACTCAGTATTGTTAAGGAGTGTGAAATACTGGTCAAAAAAAAAAAAAAACAAAAGCGGGGGGGGGATGAATTATCGCTTCGAAAGCGTGGACGAATCTCAAAACCTTAAAACCGTAACGTTGAGTGGAAAAAAGAAACCCACAGGTTACATACAACCTGACACCATTGTATAACATCCAAAAAGAAAATTTAATGATCGAGAGTGAAAGATAAAAGAGCAAATTTAGAATAGTGTAACAGAGCATAGAGGATCTTTGAAATGGTAATACTATTTTTTAATAGATATTCAGGTTTGTTTTATTTTTCTTTGTACCTTACACCTACATAATATATACATTCTTTAGCTTTTTATTGCAGTAAACACCTATACGGAAAAGTGAACCATTTGAATATATCCATGTAATCGAGAGCATCGAGATCAAAATTACATTATACCATATCTACAAGATCTTCCTCAAATCACTACCTGCCCCACCAAGAGTAACCACTATCTTAATTTCTAAATTCATAGGTTAGTTTTGCCTGATTTTGTACCTCACGTAAATGGAATCATATGAAATCATGCCCTTTGTTTCTTGCTTCTTTTACTCGTTATGTTACATTTGATGTAGTCTTTGGTATGCATGGAATATTTCATCAGAAACAATTTTAAGGGGGCACCTGGGTGGCTCAGTTGGTTAAGCGTCTGCCTTCAGCTCAGGTCATGATCCCAGGGTCCTAGGATGAGCCCCATGTTGGGCTCTCTGCTCAGTGGGGAACCTGCTTCTCCCTCTCCCTCTGCCCTTACCCACCCCCCACCCGCTTGTACTCTCTCTCAAATAAATAAAATCTTAAAAAAAAGAAAAACAATTTTAGAATAAAAAAACACCAATTCAAAGAGATACAGACACCCCTATGTTTATAGCAGCATTATTTACAATAGCCAAGATATGGAAGCAGCCCATGTGTCCACTGACTGATGAATGGAGAAAGAAGATAAGAGATATGTGTGTGTGTGTGTGTGTGTACACACACATATATAGGGAATATTATGCAGCCATAAAAAGGAATGAAATCTTGCCATTTGCAATGATATGGATGGAGCTAGAGAGTATAATGCTAAGCAAAATAAGTCATCCAGAGAAAGACAAATACGTATGATTTCAGTCATATGTGGAATTTTTTTAAAAAGATTTTCTTTATTTATTTAACACAGAGCGAGCATGAGAGAGCACATGCAGGGGGAGCGGCAGAGGGAGAAGGAGAAGCAGGCGCCCCCATATGTGGAATTTAAGAAACAAAACAAGCAAAGGGAAAAAAGAGAGAGAAATCAAGAACCAGACTCTTGAGGCACCTGGGTGGCTCAGTCGGTTAAGCCTCTACCTTCGGCTCATGTCATGATCTCAGGGTCCTGGGATCGAGCCCCACGTCGGGCTCCCTGCTCAGCGGAAAGCCTGTTTCTCCCTCTTGCTCTGCCTCTCCCCTCCTCTTGTTCTCTATCTCAAATAAATAAATAAAATCTTAAAAAAAAAGAAACAGACTCTTAATTATAGAGAACAGACTGATGGTTGGGGGGTAGGGCATGGGTGAAATAGGTGCTGGGGATTAAGGAGGGCACTTGTCCTCATGAGCCCCAGGTGATGTATAGAAGCGTTGAAGCGCTATATTGTACACCTGAAACTAATAAAACACTGTGTTAACTGGAATTAAAATAAAAAATTAAGGGGCTCCTGGGTGGCTCAGTCCCTTAAGTGTCTGCCTTTCGGCTCAGGTCATGATTCTGGGCATGATCCCCGAGGGTCCTGGGATTGGGCCCTGCATCCAGCTCCCTGCTCAGTGGGGAGTCTGCTGCTCCCTCTCCCTCTACCTGCCCCCCCGCCCCCCATGCTCTCTCGCGCTCATGCACTCTCTCTCCAATAAATAAAATCTTTTTAAAAATAAATAAAAAATTAAAAACATACCAACCATAAAAAAATTTTTTTTAAATAACCTTCAAAAATAAATAACACATTAAAAACTATTAGAGCTATATGAAGATCTGCTTTGAGAATCCTGCCTGGGGTAAAGGGATTTGGTGAATTCTCTAGGCCCCTGTTATCTTTTTCCTTCAGGAGTAACTTAATACACTCATCAGGGGCTCAGAAGAGGTCTGTGGTGTGCCAGGCAGCCATAGGGAAAGTCATTCTAAATTATTCATGGAGTATTGACTAGGTATGCAGTCTTATGCTGGGTTCTGTGGAGACCGACATGAAGACTCAGCTTCTTCGCTCATGGTTGGTATGTCTCTTAGGGTGGAGAAGAGAGAACAGAATGTACTTCCAGAATGAATGAAGGTGGACAGCTGTGCCCCCTTCTGCACAGGCTTTTTAGCATGAAGTCTTTGATCTGTGTCCTTCAGCTGATGTAGAGTCAGAACTGTGAGGAGATCATCTTCAGAACACCCTGGACGGGGTCTTTTCCCCCTTGGGACTGAAAGGGGGTGGTCACTTTTTCCCCAGTAGACATGAAGCTAGGCTTTATCTCCCCAGCATTCCCATCCCCTCAGAGGCCCATGTCACTACAGACCAGGGAGCGTGGGACTATATCTGGGTTTTGTTTCCTCCGTGAGGCACCAGGTCCTGGGCAAGAAAACTTGGCAGGCTCTCTCCATGGCCGTCTTACTCCTCCTCCTTCTGTTTCTACGTGGACCCCACCAGGCTGCTGCAGGTAAGGAACAGGAGGTGGGGGATTCTTTGGCTATTTGAAAGGTTGTAAGGAACTACTGTTGTTTCTCCTTAGAGGCCTGGGGAAGGTATATGACTCAGGAAGATAGTTTACTCCAACTGACTTCCCCCTGCCTCTAACTCAGGGGAAGATCCAGAGACAATGAGGGTCCAGGTTATGTACAGTTTCTTTCTTTTTTTAATGTTTAATTTTTTTGAAGATTTTATTTTTATTTATTTATTTATTTATTTATTTATTTATTTATTTATTTATCAGAGAGCGA